CGGGGAAAGGGTGTTCCTGGGCGCGGGGATGGGAGTGGGGATGCGGCCGGCTGCCTGGTACAGCAGAGGTTTTGCAGTGACCCGTTTCCATCCCTCAGCGGCACAAGGAGTACCTGAAGATGCTGAGCGAGAGAGAAGAGGCGCTTGGTAGGTGTTATCTGCCCGCTCGCAGCTGGATGGGGGCGAGAGGAGTCCAAAGCCTGTGAGAACTGCGAGAGGTGCTGAAGCTGGTTGGGAATCTCGGGGTCTGCCACAGAGCGAGCCTGGCTGGGGGTTGGAGGTGGAGCAGAGGCACTTACGTGGTCTGTTGGGGCTCGCTGCCTCATGTCTGCCTGAGAAGCAGGGTAACAATCAGCATGGTGGGCTGAACGGTGAACTTTGCCGCCTCTGGTCCCTAATCAGAAGAGGAAATAGGGATGTTACAGAGAAGGGAACAAATGGGATGACATCTCCAAAAGAAACTGGGGCTCTTTCCCCCAATGTAATGGTGAAGGAATGAGTGTAAGGCTAACTTGTGAAAAGCTGGCAATTCGAAGTGTGGGTTTTCTTGCCTCCTCAGATGAAGTTGATGAACTGGAGCACTTGGTGACGGCGCAGACAGAGTCTGTGAACATCGACCACCCAAACCACATTGTAACGGTGACCACCATCAGTGATTTGGACCTCTCCGGTGCACGCCAGCTGGGACTGACCACCTCTGAGGTAAAGCCTCTTACTGCCTCTGGTTGTATCAGCCTTGAGCATTCTTGGGACTGCCTAGGTAGGGCTGATATGATAATGTCAGTAGATTTGCAGCTAGCTGGGAACATGACTGAAAAGGGTAAACTCAAAATTTTTGTGTTCCTCCCTAACATATACTGGTCTTCCAGAAAGGAGGAAATGTCCTGCATGAAGGGCTTGTTCCAGACCTCATTGGAATGCTTTGCTATTTCTCTTTAATGTAATGTTAGTGAAAGATACTACACTGTTGTATGGGGAGAACATGGTATTTTCCAAGCAGGTATAACACAAGCAACAGGAATGCAGGCTTCGCTGTTGAACAGGCCTTAACCCCTTGCCTGTGTACTGTCCAGGAAAAATTGGTACTAGAGTTAAGAGGAATTTCTCTATAATCCTCCGCTTGGACCACAAATAAGGAAACAATTCATTTGAGTTCTGGTTATGGTATCTTTTATTTCATGGAGTCACAGAATGTTTGATGTTGGAAGGGACCTCGAGAGATCATCTAGTCCAATCCCGCACAAGGTTGCATCCAGGCAGGTTTGGAAGATCTCCAGAGAAAGGAGACTCCACAACTTCTCCAGGCAGCCTGTTCCAGTACTCTTGTTAGCCTCACAGTAAAGAAGTTCTTTCTCACATGGAGATTAAACTCCCTGTGTTTCAATTTGCACCCATTAGCCCTTGTCCTGTCACTGGCCACCACTGAGAAGAGTTTGGCCCCATGGTGGCCACCTGCCTCAGGACTGTTCAGCATTTGGGAAGATGAACTTGTCCTGTTCTTGTGCATCCCACAGGTACTGCAAAGTTGAGAGGAGGCTTGCTGAGAAATTTCAGAACCCATTTAAACTGAGCTCTCATATTGGTTTCACAGAGGCTTTCTGGCACTAGCTGACTTAAATCCTTTTCGTCTTTTACAAGTTGTGGCTGGATTTGAGGTCTTTGGAGAAGTGCCCATGTTGGGACAATGAGGCGTCTTTGAAATTTTTAAGGACATTGTCTAATCTAAAAACCTACTCAAAGAAGTTTTGGTAGTAATTAAAAGGAAAAATAACATCTTCATCGTTTAGACTTGA